AGGGCGACATGGAGCGTGCCATCAGATTACGCGACGTGGAAGCCTTCCCAGGGACTGCACGGCGGTCAAGCCATAGGATACTCGCAAGCACGGTAGCGTGCAAGAAGCAGTGGGTCATTGCTTCCTTCGACATCAACGTGGCATTCCTGGAAGGGTTGACCTACCAGGAACTTGCTCAGGCAACTGGTGAGAAAGAACGTGTGGCGCGCTTTACTTTGCCGCCTGGATCGGCTACTGCGCTTCGGTCCCTTCCTGGATACGAGCACCACGACGAGTCGAAGCACTGCTTGCAGTTCCTCAAGCCAGGCACTGGCACCAAGGACGCACCTAGAGCTTGTCCATTAAAGCTCAGAAGGACCACGAGAGGCCCCGGTCTCAGACCCACGTCCTACGACGAGGAGTTCGAGACGAGCAGTAACCTGCTTACAGCCAAACATGTCGATGATATCAATATGGCCGGTACCGAGGTCACCATTTACAAGTGCGTCAAGTGCGCGTTGGTAAGTGTAAATTCAACAAGCATGCATATACGAATTGCGCTGTAAGGTATACCGAGGGTGAGGGTTGCAATGTTACGTTGGACCAAGACGAGTACATCAATCAGATACATACAACATCTTGAACTTACCAGCGCCGACGCTGACGCCAACGCATCCACGATGGTTGCAGAAATGTTCGTCAGCCTCAGAGGCGCAGTGGCTTATGCATTAATCACCCAGGTGTGGTTGATGGTACATGTAGTTCCTCTACAACACGTCTAAGAACCGACCAACATACAAGTGCGACATCTGAACGTGACTACCAGGAAGCCGAAGGCCTGCCCTTGAAGATCGCCTACCAAGCGATGACTCCCACGGGCGAAGTTGACCTGCACAGCGACTCAGGTTACCGACGCCTGAATGGGGATGCCGACGACGAAGTCAAAGGCTATGGTCTTCGCGGGGCAAACCTGCTACGGCGTGGAAGCACGCCATCCGGCAAGCTTGTCGTTCTCTTGATCGATGCGCACTGCAAGTCTCACCGCTTGCAGGCCCGCTCGAGCTATTCAGCCGAGACACTAGCAGCAGCCCACAATTTGGATGATTGGTATCCGACGACCGTGACTCTGCACGAGCTCTACGCAGGGCCGTTGACTCCCACTCAGTCAAAAGACATACTTGAGTTGGGTGGCCTGATCATCAAGGTCACTTTGACCATAGATGCTGAGTCTGTTTGAAAGTTTTTGCCCAACAAAGAAATTGAAGAAGCCGATTGAGTGTACCCTTTTAGGGCACATCCGTTGGATACGAGAGATGATGGAGCGAGGAGTCGTGCATAGTATTCAGCGGTGTGACACCCGCAACATGACCGCGGACGGCCACACAAAGGGGAGCGTCGACAGAGATACGCTCCAACTGGTCATGGGAGGCACGCAATCCTTCAAGCATGACTTAAAGCGTCATATTCCTTATCGGGCTGGCCTCCTGGTTTGCGGCCGCCTGAGGAGCACTCGCATGCGCAGTAACTTGCAGGCAAAGCAATTTGCGTGCGGGTCCACCTTCCTTACGGCCCCGCCCTTTTGCTGCCCTTTTGTGCATGGTAGCTGCTGTGCCTGCTGTATAGAAGCGGCGGACTCACGCTTCGCCCCCCCCCCCCCCCCCGACTCTAAACTGAGCTGGGGCGCGGGCTAGATGCAACGGCGCGCGTCCGCGGCCGTTTGTGCTCAAGCGGCCGGCCGCCCAGATCTGACTACACGAGGCGTACCATTTGCCATCGAGACCAAGACATCACGTGCTTGAGATGGCTCGTCGCTCCCGCGACGATCTCTTACTACTGGGACTATCGCTACTGCGGTACAACAGAACTGGAGCTGGGTTCCGCCTAAGGCGAAGCTACTGGTTGGGCTTCCCAACCCCCTTTTCAAACATGGCGACCTCCATCTCGTGGCCCCGCGGGCCCCGGGCCTCGGGCCCTCTGGAGTCGTCTGCAGCCGAGCGGGCGGGGAGGGCAAGATGCATCCCAAACCATTTGTTTTCTAATTGTTGTTCGCCTACTCTGGGCGTGTTTCAAGCGCCCTCCGGGGCAGATTTGGTGCTCTCTCTCTGTGGGCCTCCTGGGCTGTTGCAGGGTCGCCGCGGGCCGCCCAGGGGTCGTCGAGTCATGCGAGGCAGCCCAAGAACGCGCGGGGGCGCCCAGGAAACTGGAGAATTTGGGGCCCCAGCCTTTAAGAATACTCGGAGTCGTGAGCACAGAGTTTGGAAATCCACGGCCCAAGGATGCTCGCAATTCGTGCCAGTTATCACATTCTGCGGGGTTCAAAAGTTTGAAACGGTCAATGTGTTGAAGCGCTGGAGAACTTGTTCTGTTGTTTTCATTTCCGCCAAATAGAACACGGGGCTAGGACATGTGCAAATGCAGGGCCTGTGAATTTGCAGTGCTCCAAAACTTGTATTCGGTTTTGAATTTGGTGCAACGTTGTATTCGTTGAAACGGTTGGAAAACATGTTTCCCGTGGGTGGGGATGCGGATTTTCTGTGCCCAGATAATTCAAACACCCAGCAGTTGCGAGACATGAGAACGTTTCAGGGCGTATAGACTTTGGAAACGTTTTACACCGTTCCCAGCAGTTGTGACACATTGTGAAACAAATGTTGACCGTTGCGGGCTATGGGGAGCTGGAAATCAAATGCCCAGGAGCTGGAATCGACCCCTGGCATCACTACTCGTTTCTTTAACGAACTAGTGGCTTCTAGCGCTGCCATGTCCAAGATTGGCGTTGTGGGGCGCGTGAGGGGGAGAGGAACCTCCATCCCCAAACCCACGCAACTCCGAGCTATCATACCCCTCCCGGCTGATCTCCAAGTTCTGGATTGTTTGATCGCTCAGCGTCTCAACGCATGGATCGACGAGCACGTTGCTGTGCCACAGTGCTGCTGGGTTGGATCCTGGCCATTCACGCAAGCACTGGACATCGCGCGCGCTCTGCACCTCGTTACCGAGAGAGGTCTGGACGGCCGCAGCCAGTCGGCAATGACTCAGAGCGATATTGAAACCTATTATGACTCTCTCCTTGTTTTGGGGGTGTTGCAGTGGTGCGTGTCTCGAGGGATGCCGTTGGCGCTCGCGGCAGCAGCGGCGCGCCATCTGTTGCTCCCAGCAGTGAGTTTGCGCGTTGGAGACGCGGAGGCGGAGCTTGGCAAGCGATCCCGCGGAAGTCTCACTGGGGGTCGGGTGGCCGGTGTTTTGGGCCGCGCCCCAGTCGAGGCCACTCTCGGGAAGATGTCGGATGTCTGCCGGCAGCGGGGCTTCCTGTTGGGCGAGTTCCAGCTATTAGCCATTGCCACATACGTTGACAACATTCATTCCGTCAGCTACTCCCTGTATAATGCTACGAGTTTGTTGGATGCGTTCGAGCCCCATCTTTCCTCCGACTGGGGACTCCGCATCAAGGATCCCAGCAAATCATGCATGGTTGCCGCAGGAGGGGGCGCATCCGTTTCAGACCCAGCTGTTCGGAAGCCGTCGGGGTCTTTTGAGGCTTTTGGGGCCACATCCTGGAAGATACAGAATCGTGCACGATGTGTGTTGGTAGGACTATGGCCGCCATGTGGCGTGCGTTTTGGGCCAATTATGCCATGCACCGCCTGCGAGACGTCCCTCTGCGGCAACGTCTTCGCATGCTCGATCGCTCTGTGCTGCCAGTGTTTGACTATCGATGCAGCCAGTGGCCGCCCGCCGCAACCCTGGAGGGACGCATCGACACTTGTCTGCGCCGCGCGGTCAGCCTCCTGACGCGGGCGCCGCGACAAGCTGGTGAAGAAGAGCCGGCCTACTTCCGCCGCAGAGCCCGGGAAGCCGAGGATCTTTGTAGACAGAGGCGTTGGTGGAGCCATCGCCATTGCACTCAAGTTCTGAATTGGCGAGAGCACTTCGAACGGCCGCGAAGCCGTCGTTCTTGGGCGGCGCAGCTCCTACACTGGCAAGGCGAGCGTTGGCTCCAAAACTGGAGGACGCAGCTGAACAGCTACAGCGTTCATGCCGGACGCACGGATACGAGATTGGCAGCGAGTCGCCCACGACGGCGGTGGCACGATGGAACCAGGTGTGCTTTAGAGCACGCGCTGCTTGGCTCGCACGCTGTTCTTTATCGTCTCCAGTCCCCCCCCCCTCGCATGAACACGATGTCTTTCAGTTGTTCCAGCGTTGCAGCGGGCAGTGCGCCTGCATTGCACCTTTCTTCGCCTAGTGCGTTTTGCGCACGCGGCTTGCGGTGTTACCCCGCCTTTTGGTTCTGATTTTGGTTGTTCAAGCATTGTAGCCACTGTTTGCAGTGTGTTGCGGTTCCAGCCCCCCGCACGAGTTTAAACATATGGCATTTGTTTTAAATGTTTGCAAATCTCAGTTCCACGGGGTTCCCGATTTCCAGGACTCTCCAGGACGGGGGGCAGCAGCAGGAGGAGGGGGGAGAGGAAGGAGGAGGACAGAGGGGGAGGGAGGAAAAGGGAGGGAAGAAAAGGAAAGGAGGAAGGAGGAGGGAGGAAGGAAGGAAGGGGGGGAAGAAGGATAACGATGAGGGAGGGTAGGAGGAGGAGGAGGAGGAGGAGGAGGAGGAGGAGGAGGAGGAGGAGGAGAGGAAGGAGGAGGAGGAGCAGATGCCGGAGGAGGCGGGAGAGGAGAATGGAGGAGGGAACGGAGGGGAGCGAGGAGGTGGTATACCGGCGCGTCGGCCTCCCAATTTGATATCCCCTCACGGTCGCCCGCTCTCCGTCCTCCTCCCCCCGCCGTCCCCGCTCCCCTCCTTGACCCCTCGCCGTCCCCTTCGCCCGCTCTCCGTCCTCCTCCCCTCCTCCCCTCGCCGTCCTCGTCGCCCGCTCTCCGTCCTCCTCCCCTCCTCCCCTCGCCGTCCCCGTCCCCTCGCCGTCCCCGCTCTCCGTCCTCCTTCCCCTGTGGGGCGGCAGGGCGGCCGCGGCCCCGGGCGGCCGAGGAGCCGCGCCGCCGGCCCCCCCCCCCCCCCCCCCAAGGAGCAGAAGACCATCGCGCTGCGCGGGGAGGAGCAGCGCAGGAGCGAGGACTGGCGCGCGCGGGGGCCCGGGCAGGTCGCGGCCGCCGAAGGGGGGGGAGGCAGGAGGGAGGGGGAGGGGGGCAGGAGGGAGGCGGGAGGGAGGGGAGGGAGGGGAGGGATGGGGGGAGGGGGGAAGGGGCGAGGAGGAAGGCGGGGGTGGGGGACAACGGATGGCTTGACGGGAGAATCGGTTGCAGGGCATTTCGCAGATCCACAGTTCTGTGGGGTGTATCTCTGGATCTGGTGTGCACCTTGCTGCCGAGTTCGTTCATCATGGTTATAGTGGGGGGAGGTGGTAGAAGGGGAGGAGGAGGAGGAGGAGGAGGAGGAGGAGGAGGAGGAGGAGGAGGAGGAAGACAGGGAGGAGGAGGAGGAGGAGGAGGAGGAGGAGGAGGAGGAGGAAGACGACGACGATGAAGGTGACCAGTTTTCTTGTCAAAAAACAGCTGGCCTGCCTGTCAAGCAGGGGAGGCGGCGGGACTCGACTGTCCCTGCACCAAGTTTACCAAGGAAGGCCGTTCCAGCTGGTGTCTCTTAGCACGGGCACTGTTTCAAAAGATCCTCGGAGCTTCGACTCGCGTAGTGGCCGCAACTGGTGCAAGCGAGAGTGCTTCCAGCACTGACCGCCAGTCTCTGGTGACGTGTCAGGCACGGCGGAGCTCGGTGCCCCTCCCCTCCTCTGTCCCATCGTCGCCCTCCCATCCCACCCCAGCCCTCCCGTCTGCCCCCTCCGCCCTGCACGCCTCAAATTGCCCTCCGCGTCATCGCCTCGCCTTCCCATCTGCCCCCCCCCCCTTCCTTTGGCGCGCCTCCCACCTGCCCTACCCATCGAACCCACTGTTTTTTCACACCTCGCCCCCTTCACGCCACCACGCCTCCGTTCCGCCTCTCTTCTCTCTTCCTCCCTCCCCTTCCGCGCCCGTGCCCCATGTCCCTACTGCCCTTCGAATGACGTGCATAGAGCCGGGGAGGGGAGGAGGAGGAGGAGGAGGAAGAGGAGGGGAGGAGGAAGAGGTTGAGATTGAATCAGCGCTTTGTCGACGCTGCAGTGCGAGCATCCTCCCATCCCACACCCCCTCCCCGTGAGTCCCTGCAAGCATCCCTTTTCTCACTGTGGGAGGCGCTCCCCCGAGAGGCGCCCCCCCCCCCCCTCCGGGGCTGCCATTCAGGCGAGGGCCCTGCTTTGAAAAAGACCTGCCATGCGTGATTCGAATACCAATCGGCGGCAAGCCCAGTGGGGAAGTGAGAAGGGGCGGGCCTTCTCAGAAGGCTCGGACCCCCTCTGTCCTTCCGAGAAGTTGTCCAAGCTGTCCCCGAGGACACGGACAATTTCTCAGAGGGCGCGAGGGCTTTGAGAAACCCTGCCGCCTTCTGAGAAGGCCCTCTCCTTCTCACTTCCCCCACCCCGCCCGCCGCCGAACCAAGGAGTTTTTTGGTCGGCGGCTCCAAGGCGACGGTCAGGAAGCGAAAGCGGCGTCCGGGCTGCGGAACGGGGCGAATTTGCGAACAGAGCCGCCGGTGTCGGCGGGCAAGCTCGCACCTGCAAGACAAGCTCGCAGTTGCACATGCACAGAACAAAATGAACTAAATTCACAAGCAAACGCACATAGGCGCAGCAGCGTGAAGCGAAATAAGCGGGCGAACCAAGGAATGCGAGGAGGCAGGATCACACATTTTCAGCAACGTGCCCAGCTGTAACCCCGGCCTGACAAGCAGCAGCCGCCCCTCGGGGCCGCCGCCGCACAGCTGGACGCCTGGCCGCACAGTACCGGGGGAGACTCCATCTCGAAAAGGATCCGGCTTCCGTCCGTGTAATGGAGGAGGAGGAGGAGGAGGAGGAGGAGGAGGAGGAGGAGGAGGAGGAGGAGGAGGAGGACCGTTGCAGGTTCGCCATGTCCGTGTACTCCAGATTCCTCTCGCTTCGCGGGTGTGCACGTCCGGACCACGTACAGTCCAGTTGTTGCGGGGCCTTTTGGGAGCTTCCTTGTGGCCTCTTGGAGGTGTCTTGGGTGGGGGCCTCTTTGGAGGTGTCTTAGAACCGCTCACGCAGTTAGAATGCACCGTGAACGTGCTGCCTTCAGCCATCGTAGCGAGGATTTCCGCCAAGGTGCGGGGACGTGGAGACTCGCTCGTCGAGGTTCCAACCTCGGGCTGAGGGGGCGATGAGGACGATGAGGAAGAACAGGAGGGAAAAGACGGGGATAGGAATGAGGATGACGACGATGAGGAGGATGAGGAGGGCGATGAGGGAAGCGGCGGCCCCATCTTCCCTCCCAGCGCCGGCTCTACTCATGGGCGCCGCCGTGACCAACTTCCACGCGACAGGGCGCTTTTGCGTTGTATCGCCCCTTGGAAGATCGTCCTGGGGGGATCCCGCGGCCGCCTTGGGGCTCTCTTGGGGTCCTTCTGGGCCGTCGAAGGGGCCTCTTGGACCGTCTTGGGGGCCTCTTTGGGCCGTCTTGGGGGCCTCTGGGGCCGTCTTGGGGCCTTCTCGGGGGCTTCTTAGGCCTTCTCGGGGCCATTCTGCAGGCTGCTTGGGCCGTCACTGGCTTGTCAGAGTCGAGAAAGGCGAGAACGTTAAAATCTTCCCACAACCATACGAACATTTATGATTGTGGCTTCTGGAGGCGCTATTGGGGATCCTCTTGGGGCCCTCTTGGGGCGTCTTGGTAGGTTTTCGGGCCCTCTCGGGGCCATGTTGGGCCGTCTTGGGGAAATTTTGGGGCTCTCTTGGGCCGCCTTGAAACCATCATTCGCCTTCTTGACGCCCCTTGTGGGCTTCGAGGAGGGTCCCGAGGCCCATATCAATGACTTCCATGCGTTTTTTAGGTTTTCACAAAGTACGTGGAAACGGGTCGACGACTCGGCGGCGGCCCTGGGGGGGGGATTAAGGGGGGTTGCTTTTCAATGTATCAGAATGCGATGTTTTGCAATCGGCCTTCCTTGACGTATCGTGGCTGGGCCCTGGCGTCACACACCCGTCCTGTCGGACTGCCGAGACGCTTCGCTGCAGTCCGGACGTGGACCGTCGCCATGTCCGTGTACTCCAGATTCTTTGGCTTACGCCGCACCGCCGACCCCTTGGGGCTCCTGGTAGGTCTCTCGGGTGCCTCCTGGCAGCACTTTGTGGCCTTTTGGGGGCCGTTTGGGGGCCGCTTTTGGGCCTCTGGTGGGCCTCTTGGAGCCTCTTGGGTGCTTCTTGGGGGCTTTTTGGGGCCTCCTGGAGGCTTCTTGGGGCCGAGGGCTTGCAATTTCCGTTCGGGTTCCCTGCCTGGGCCCCCTCCTGGAGCCGTCTTGGGCACCTCTTGGGCCGGTTTGGGGCCCTCTTGGGTCGTCTTGGAGCCTTCTTGGGGGCTTCCTGGGCCGTCATTGGGGCGATCTTGGAGGGCTCTTGGGCCGCCTTGGACGTTGTGAAAGCCCAAGTGTCGAATGTGCTAAAATCATACGTGTAGGAAATGGAGAACGAGCTAAGGAATGGAGAGCAGCAGCGGGAAGTGGTCGGGAAAGTCGTCAGCCGTATGATAGAGGAGTGCGCGGGGGACGACTCAGCGCGGGTAAGCGGGGAACCCTTGTTGTGGATGTTGCACGGGGGGCCAGGAACAGGCAAGAGCTACGTGGTGGGCGCTTTACGGGCGCACGTGTTCGAGGGCATCATGAAGTGGAGACACGGGCTGGACTTTCAAGTGGCGGCGCTGGCACTGCAGGCGACGAGCGCGTCGGCGTTGGACGGGCATGCATTGCACGCCGCTTTTGGGATGACGCTCTTTGCGCGCGGTTCGGAGAACGCCAAGAAGCGCGAGTCGGACGGGGCGAAAAAGCTGGAGGCTGCCAAGCGGATGCAACAGTGGCGGTGGTTAATCATCGACGAGATTACCATGGTCAGTGCAAGCTTTCTCGCGGAGTTGGACGCGCATTTGCGGTCGGTCATGTCAGCGGCGCGCCAGGGAAAGGTCGACGCCGAAGGAGTGGAGGGGTGAATGTATTGTTTTGGTGTCTACCAGCTGGAGCCGCTGGGTGGTGCGCCCTTGAGCGCGATCCCGACGTCGTGGGTTCGCAAGGCACGGGAGTACGCGCCAAGCGCGGGGGAAGATCATGGGCATTGCATATTCTGGGGTAGGGGGCACGGGTCCGTTGCAGGAATGACTGAGCTAGTGGAATGCAGGCGATTGGAAGGTCATGACGAGTGGTTTTTGGGTGTTCAGGACGAGTTCCGGCGCGGGGCCTTGAGCGAACGGACGCGCCAGTTTCTGCGCGGCCGACCGACGGGCGTAGCCGGATCGTGGGTGGGGCGTGGGCCAACGTGCGGGTCAGAGCACTGCGCAACAAATGCAGAGGCCATTGCAAGAGACAACACACAGGAGTGTGGCCTTTGTCAAGCAGAGCGCCGTAGACGCCAGTTAGTTGCGACGGGGCCCGAAGACGAACGGTTCTTTCTGCCAGAGTTCGCGAAGGCAACAGCGATTTACCCGAACCAGGATGTGAAATGCAAAGTCGAGCGCAGGCGTGCCGTGGACTGGGCCGCGAGCGAGGGGCGGCAAATTTCCTGGGTGTGCGCGAGAGATGCGGCGCGTCATGGAGCCTTCCAAAAACGGCCATGCACGTCTGTTGACAAGGTTCGGTGGCTGGGATACCATGATTAGGCATGCGCTGATGTGCCAGGGTGGCTGCCAATGGCGGCGGGCATGCCCGTGGTGCTGACGGATCATTCGGATCGGGGTGAGAAGCAGCTGCTCCGCGGGTGCCAGTTTCTGATATCGCCGGGCCTGGCAAGCACGGCTCACGCGGCCCAGGGCCGATCCTTGGACGCTGTCATAGCAGATTTGCAGGGGGGTCGAAATGTGAGTTGGATGTCGAGTTACGTGGCAATCACCCGCGTGAAAATTCGTGGCGGTTTGCTCATATATCGCCCGTTTGAGTTGAAGCCGCATACCCAAGGTGAGATGGAAGGGGCGAAACATTTGCTGGGCAAGTTGCGCGGGGAGGAGGTGCCGCGGGCGGAAATAGAGGCGAAGTTGATGCCTCGTAAGACGTGCGGTATATGTAGCGCCGCGAAGGAGAAAGCGGATTTCACGCCCACAGAGTTCAAGGAAAAGGACCGGCCGAGTTTTTGTCGCGAGTGCGCGGATGAATTAAAGGAGGCGGGCGACAAGTGGTGCACCGAATGCAGGACGTGGGCCGCGTTGGGGCCGAGGGCGCCGGAGGACGAGGCTCGCGGGGGGCGAGTGTGCGCGCGGAGGAGCAGGTGCGAGAGATGCGCGGGGCCGGCGACGGCACGAAAGTCACGGAAGGAGTCGGAGGCGTGGAAGGAGAAGGTTCAGGAGAGATTCGCTGCGCGAAGTGTGAGAATTTCTTGAAAACGGAGGCGGAAGTGGCGGCGAACCAGCGCGATGCGAAAGATGCGGGGGAGAGGCTTTGCAGGGCGTGCGCCCGCAAAGTGAAGGGTGGGCGGAACGAGAAGGGCGGGCGGAACGAGAAGGCGGATGCAGAGAATCGCAAGCGAAGCCACTGACGCGCGCGGCGCGCAGAGGAGCGTTCTCGGACACGAAACATTTGAAGCAGAAGCAAGTGGAAGATCATCGACAGGCAAAAGGAGCCAAAGTGGTGCGCGGACAGCGCGCGATTGCCAGGCGTATCAGTGTAGCGGCCCGTGCAAGAGAAGAACGCCGAAGTCGGCGTTCTCCGTGAACCCTACCAATGTCGCGCGCGACGAAACGAAGGGCACCCTGAAGTGCAAGACATGCAAATGATTACCAATCAGGCGCGCGTGCTGGGGAGGAAAAGGAGGGCGGGGAGAGGAGCACGGGGGGTGAGGCGGAGGATGGGGGGGACAAGAATATAAGAGGATGAGGACGAGGTGGGGGGGGGGAGAGGAGGAGGGGGACGAGGAGGAGGTGGGGGAGGAGGAGGGGGGGGGGGAGGAGGAGGAGGAGGAGGAGGATGGGGGAGGAGGACGAGGGGGACGCAGCGAGGAGGCTCTGGGCTATGGGTTATGGGTTAGAGGCTTCTTGCATGTGTATCGGGATCTCGCGCCACGCCTCTCGGGGGCCTCTCGAAGGCAGTTCTGAAGCCACTTGGGAACCGTTTCGGAGTTTCTGGGGGTCTTTTGGGGGCCTCCTGGGGGCCTCTTGGGGGCTCCTCTGGCGGCCTCTTGGGGCACTCTTGGGGCCCCCTGGGGCTCCTGGGGGCGGAAAGCTAGAAGTTTTGAATGTTTGGTCGCCCTCTGGGGCCCCTCTTGGTGCTGTCTTGGAGCCCTCTTGGGCCGTCTCGGGGACCTCTTGGGCCGTCTTGGGGCTATCTTGGGCCGTCTTGGAACCGTCTCGGGGGCCTCTTGGGCCGTTTTGGGGTTGTCTTCGGGGCCTCTTGGGCCGTCTTGGAACGTCGGGAAGCCGAAAAGGCGAAAAGGCAAAACACACCGAAAACACAATGGAAAATCAACAATTTTAGCCTCTCGGGGCCCTCTTGGGGGGCTTGTTTGGGCCCTCTGGGGCCATCTTGGAGGCCTCTTGGCCCGTCTTGGGGCCATCTTGGGCGTCTCGGAGCGCTCGTTTAGCGTCCCGGGGCCCTCGTGGGCCGTCTTGGAACCCTCTTGGGGCCTTCTTGGCCCATCTTTAAGCCCTTCTGGGCCCGGAAGAGCCCGTGACGCGCTCGTCGGGCCCCCCCCCCCTCCAAATCGACCGGACCGGGTTCCCGGGGGAGGGGTTTGGGGAGGGGGGGGCATCTCACACGCCGATGATCCCCAGGGGTTGGCGGATTTCGTAATAAAGGGAGGGGGGTCTCATTTCGGGGGGGGTCTCTTACAGGCTATCTTGGAGGGCCTGGGGAGGGTCTGGGGGCGATGTTTTAGAGGGTTCTCCCACGGGGGAGGTCTGAAATGGCTTGTCTTGGAGGGTCCAGACCCCCTCCCTTTTATTACGAAATCTTGAGTAACTAATGCCGGTTCGCCATGTTCGATTACATCAGTTTCGACACATTACCCGTTGTTTGGCCCACGTGTCAACAAGGGCACCCGCTCTGCACGGTTCCAAGGCGAACGGCACACCCTGATATTGATGCGCCTTGCATCCTTGAAGCGCAATTGGATGCGTTCGATGCAAATTCGCGCGGCGCTCACGCGAGAGCCGCATTTCGAAAAGGGCCCGCCCCTCCACCCGGGCAGCATTTGGACATTTCGGGCTCCAGGAGCCGGGGCCGGGGCGGTGGTGACGTCTCAGGTCGACCGCCTGGCCGGCTCTGCTGGCACGTCTCGTGGTGGCACGAGGGCGAGTTTGTTCATGAGGAGGGATGGAGCAGAATGAGAGTGAGGAGGAGGAGGAGGAGGAGGAGGAGGAGGAGGAGGAGGAGGAGGAGGAGGAGGAGGAGGAGGAGGAGGAGGAGGAGAGGAGAAGGAGAAGAAGGAGAAGTAGAAGGATGAGAGTCAGGAGATGGTGGAGGAGGAGGAGGACAGGCTTGGCACGCTGGCTGGGGGGCCTTCGAGGGTTGAACCAGCGCTCACTGGGTCAAAGCATTGATCGATCGCTGTCGGATTCTGCAGGGGGGGAGGGGACATTCCCCTCCCCCCCTCCCTTTTCCTCAACGTTCCCCCCTCTCCCCCTCCCTCACCCATCCCTCGTGCCCCTGCCCTTCTTGCTCTTCCTCCCTTGCCGCCCTCTCCCCTCCTCTCAAAGTCCGCGCAGGGCTCTCTCCCCTCGCCGCTCCCAGGACCACAGCACCCAGCTGCACCAGGCACGCGTAGCCCACGAGACGGAACAGAAGAAGCTGGCCGACCTGGACCTGATGAAGGTTTGGCACCTTCACTTGCCCCCTGCTCTCTCTCTCTGGTATCTCTTTGTCGCTAGTTGTTTGTTCATGTCTTTATTTCTCTCTCTCTCTCTTTCTGTCTCTATGTGTATATGTACATGCATATGTATGTACACATATCGGAGGTTGGGGGTTAGTCCGACGTGAAACGGAGACCCCCCCTACCGGAAAATCGATTTCGGTTTCAGGTTCGTGTCGTGCGTGCCGTGCGTGCGTGCGGGCGAGGCGAAGCTGCGTGGGCGTGCGAGAGGAAATCTTCCTGTGGCTGGGCCGCGGCCGGACCAAATGTAACTCCTCAGGCGGCCAGTGCCCCGCGGTGTCCCGTCGGTGTCCCGCCGATGTCCCGGAATCCTCCTGTGGTTGCGCCGTGGCCGCACCAAATGTAACTCCTCCGGCGGCCGGTGCCCCGCGGTGTCCCGCCGGTGTCCCGCGTTTGTCCCGTGGTGTCCCGTGGTGTCCCGTTGAGTGAGATCGATACTGAGATCGATACTGAGATCGATGTGGTGCCCCGAGGTGTGCCGTGGTGTCCCAAAAAGTGAGATCGATAGTGAGATCGACAGGTGTCCCGTGGTGTCCCGTGGTGTCCCCAAAAGTGAGATCGATAGTGAGATCGATACTGAGATCGACAGGTGTCCCGTGGTGTCCCGTGGTGTCCCGTTTGAGTGAGATGGATAGTGAGATCGATGTCGTGTCTCGAGGTGTCCCGTGATGTCCCGTGGTGTCCCGTGGTGTCCCGTTGAGTGAGATGGATAGTGAGATCGATAGTGAGACCGATAGTGAGATCGAGAGGTGTTCTGCGGTGTCCCGTGGTGTCCCGTTGTGGCCCGTGGTGTCCCGTGATGTCCCGTTGAGTGAGATCGATAGTGAGATCGACATGTGTTCCGTGGTGTCCCGTGGTGTCCTTTCATGTTCCGTTGAGTGAGATCGATAGTGAGATCGATAGTGAGATCGGCAAGTGTCCCGTGGTGTTCCGTGGTGTTCCGTTGAGTGAGATCGATAGCGAGATCGATAGTGAGATCGACAAGTGTCCCGTGGTGTTCCGTGGTGTTCTGTTGAGTGAGATCGATAGTGAGATCGATTGAGTCAGATGTTGGTTCCCCCCTCTCTCTCCCCCCACAACCTCCTTATCACCCGAATGGTGGTCGTATAGGTATATATGGACAGTCCCCACCCATCACCCACTTTTACCAATATTCCTTTGCAGCGTTGTTTCACTCCTGCGCTTCCCCGTCGCCATTCTCTTCCTCCTCCGATGAAGCAGAGCGACAGGAAGAGTGTTTTGATATCTATATCTATATCTATATCTATATCTATATCTATATATACAGAGACAGACAGACAGACAGGCAGAGACAGAGACAGAGACAGACAAAGAGACAAAGAGAGAATGAGAGAGAGACTTGGAGCAGCGATCCCTGTGAAATCACAGGTTGTGCGACGGCGAGGGTCACCAAACCCTTTGTTTTCATTTGGATGTTTTGGATTTCTGGGATGAGAATCAAGGGAATCTTGTGCTTTCATTTTGATGCTTGGGATTTCTGGAATTTCAGAGGTCCCAAACAATTCGGATGCTCCTGGGTTCATTTTTTCTGGGGGGTCAAGATGCCAGAAATTCCAAACATCCAAGTGAAACCAAGGGTTGCCTTGATATCCCAGTGCGACCCTACCTAGGAGTTGGAGCCCCTAGGAAAGCAGCTTTAGTAGTAACAGTAAAGCTAAGCTGAAGCTAGGCTAAAGCTAACCTAAGCTAAGCTAAAGCTAAGCTAAAGCTAAGCTAAAACTAAGCTAAAACTAAGCTAAAGCTGAGCTAAAGCTAAGCTGCATCTAAGCTGAAACTAAGCTAAAGCTAAGCTAAAGCTAAAGCTAAGCTGCAGCTAAGCTGCAGCCAAGCTAAAGCTAAGCTAAAGCTAAGCTGGAGCTAAGCTAAAGCTAAGCTACAGCTAAGCTAAAGCTAAGCTAAACAGCTAAACTGCAGCTAAGCTACAGCTAAACTAAAGCTAAACTGAAGCTAAGCTAAAGCTAACACTAATCTAAAGCTAAGCTAAAGTTAGGCTAAAGCTAGGCCAACTCTAAGCTAAAGCTAAGCTAAAGCTAAGCTAAAGCTAGGCTTAAGCTAAGCTAAAGCTAAGCTGAAGCTAAGCTAAAGCTAATCTAAATATAAGCTAAAGCTAAGCTGAAGCTAAGATCAAGCTAAGATCAAGCTAAGCTGACGCTAAGCTGCAGCTAAGCGAAAGCTAAGCTAAAGCTAAGCTAAAGCTAGGCTAACGCTAAGCTAAAGCTAAGCTAAAGCTAAGCTAACGCTAGGCTAAAGCTAAGCTAACGCTAAGCTAACGCTAAGCTAACGCTAAGCTACCGCTAAGCTAAAGCTAAGCTGCAGCGAAGCTAAAGCTAAGCTGAAGCTAAGCTAAAGCTAAAGCTAAAGCTAAAGCGTCCAGGGGACTGGGGGAACCGCGGGGCGGGGACCGGGGGAACCGCCCGGGGCGCTTTCCACTGCCCGGCCCCTTTAAGCTAGATATTAAGAACCCTTCTAGACAGAGCCTAGGTAGGGAATTATCGTCCCAGAAATCCCAAACATTGAAATGAAAACACAGGATTTGATGACCCCTGCCGCCGCACACGCTGTGATTTCACAGGGATCCTGTATGTCTCCCTCTCTCCCTCAAAATGTCGCTCTCTGTGTCCAGGTCTCTGTTTCTCTTGCTCTTCCCCCTCCTCCTCATCATCATCATCATCATCCTCTCCAGTTCCTTGCATTTCTTCTTCTCCTCCTTCTCATCCTCCTCCTCCTGCTCCTCCTCCTGCTCCTCCTCCCCCTCCCTCCTCCCCCTCCCTCCTCCCCCTCCCTCCTCCCCCCCTCCTCCTCCTCCACACCTTCCTCCTCATCCCCCTCCTGGTTCTTCCTCGTCTGAACCGCACAGGGAGGGGGAGGGACAGAGAGAGAGAGAGAGACAAACATAACAGGAGAGAGAGAGAGAGAGGGAGAGAACGAGAGAGACTTGAGGGAGCAGCGATCCATGTGAAATCACAGGTTGTGCGACGGCGGGGGTCACCACACCCTGTGTTTTCATTTGGATGTTTGGGATTCCTGGGATAAAAATCAAGGAAACCTTGTGGTTTCACTTGGATGTTTGGGAATTCTGTGATTTCAAAGATACCAGCCATTCGGTGGCTCCTGTGTTGATTTTCCCTCGATGGTCAAAATCCCAGAAATACCAAAAACCCAAGTGACAACTCAAGGTTTCCTTGATTTCCACCCCAGAAATCCCAAAAACCCAATTGAAAACACAGGCTTTGGTGACCCCTGCCGTCGCACACCTTGTGATTTCACAGGGATCGTTGCTCCCTCAAGTCTGCCTCTCTCTCTCTCTCGCTCTCTCGCGCGCTCTCTGATTCTCCCTCTGTGGGTGTGTGTGTGTGTGTCTCTCTCTCTCTCTCACGTTCTTCCCAGTCCGCTTCAGAAGAGGAGGAGGACGAGGAGGAGGAGGAGGACGACGACAAGGAGTTGGAGGAGGAGGCTGAGGAGAGAAAGAGCAAGAGAGACAGAGATAAATAGGTAGATGAAGAAAAAAGAGAGCGAGAGAGAGAGAGAGAGAGAAAGATTGAGAGAGAGAGAGACAGAGAGAGAGAGAGCGAGTCAGTCGTTCAACGGCCGATTCAAACTGAGTGGGTGCTGGGGGGGGGCTGCGCATATATGGACACAAGCATCTGCATCCACAGTTACATCGGCATATACATGTACACATCCGGATACATTCACGTATAACTATAGACATCCATATGCCCATACGTTTACGTATGCATATGCGTGTAAACATCAACACTTGTATAGCAATACACGGACACACATGCATATACGTAGACATATCACACCAACTATATATGTATGTACATACATATACAGATACATACATGGTAAACAGCTACACATATGTACGTTTGTTCGTTTGCATACGTGTGCATGCAGGCATGCCTATGTTCATATATACACGCACATGTATATACACATCTCTACATGTGCACATACGTGTGCATATACATGACATGTGCATATATCTATACATCTATATATATGCGTATGTATGCCACTAAATATATACGTGTATATAAAAATGCAAGTGTGCAGTTACGCAAGTGATGGTATGTCGAAGTTGGTCTACATGTGTACACATGTACATATAGAACGTGCATATATACATAAACCTACATGCATACATTCATGTGTGCATACATACATATATGCATTTATCCATACCTAACATGCATGCATGCAAACATGCATACGGACGCACACATGTGTACACACAGGTTCTCATATATGTATATATATATATTACTATGAAAATGTATGTGTCTCCACATATACACACATAGGCCAGCATATCCATGCATCTGTCTAAACATACATACATGTGGGTGTATAACTACGCACATACATTCATACATGCATGCATTCATACATACTTGCGCACGCACACATGTGTATTATCAGGTTCTTAATCATGCACAAACGTGTAAACATGTGGGTAAACGTTCATACTTACACACATACTCCTGTAGATCCATGAATTAATCTAAACATACATACACACATTTACACACATACCTACATACACATATACATGTGTTCGTGCATGTAAGTAGACATGCATGTATGTATGCATACATACATTTTTACGTACACATATGTATATGCATACGTTAGTGTGTATGTTTGGCATATGTGTATATGTTTATATACATATACAAATGGTTATAGAAGTTGTGTGCACATATACTTCATGCATATACGCATGTATATTCAGGTATAACTCTAGATATGCGTGTACATACGTCTACACATGCACGCACACACATATATATATGTGTGTATATATATAGAGAGAGAGAGAGAGAGAGATGTAACGAATGCGTGATGGCCAGGCCGCCGGTCCTGAAGGCTGCACCCCCCCCAGGACCCCCGCTGGCGATCCCCCCGGGACCCGCCAGGTATTCTGACTCGGGCCCCCCCCTTTCCTCTCCCCCCCCTTCTCCGCCACCCGCTCCCCCGCACCCCCTCCCCCCACTTGCCCCCCCCACCCACCCCTCACCGCCAGGGAAGGGAGAAAGGGAAAGAAGTCGACTGAACTGCGACGTTTCTTGTTCTTGCTTTTCAATTTCCTTCGGACCGACGACGAAGACGACGACGACAACGACGACGACTCAAACGGAAAAGTGTCTCACACACGCCGACACTCACATATATATATATATATATATATATACAGCTTTCCCTTTTCATATTTTCAGTCATCGGGGACCCTGCGACCCCCCGCTAAACGGCCCCCCCCCCGGATCCTTCGCCCTGGGAGCACCCTGGACACCCTTGCAAACGGTCCCCATGTGCTTTCTGGGGCTCCTGAAGCCCCTGCTGGGCGTCGGCAGCGGGCCCAAATCGGTCGGGAGGGCGGCCGAGCGGCCCCGCGAGAGCCCACAGGGGCCCCTATACACCCACCAGACGCCCGAAGACGACCCAGGGAAACCCCCAAGATGCGTTCGAAGCGCAAGAAGCATTGATTTCCGATGGTTTCTGAATGAGTTGGGGAATCCTCCGTTCTTCGGTCTTTCGGACTTCTAAGACCGCCCAGGAGGCAGCGAATCGCTCCAAATTTAGCCAGGAGGGCTTCCAGGCAGTCCGAGAGGAGCCTCAAGACGGCCCAACAGGGCCACAAAATGGCCCGAAGAGAGCCCCAAGATGGCCCCAAGACGCCCTGCGAATCATTCCAAATCGTGACCCCGTCGTTTAGGGAGACCGCGGTTGGAAGCATGGTAGCCCGGGGAATGCCCTAGAAACCCACAGAAGCAACCCAGAAGGCCTCCAGAAGGCCCCTAACAAGCCCTCAAAAACTTTCGTGAGGCCTCCAACAGGCTCTCCAAGGATGAGCCTCCGCAAAAAAAGCTGAGGATGGGGACGAATTCGCAGGGTAGGGCGAGAATGAGCAAGAGGAAGAGGAGACATGAGTGAAGGATGACGAATAATATTATTACAACGATGATGTCAGAAAAGGCAACAACGAGTTATCGCTAAATGTTCCGTTTTACTTTATTGCCCTGTCGTTCGCATGCCAAACCTCAAGGACCGGAGTGCATGACGCGAAGCGCCAACACAGTCTTGCACACACACATGTATATATGTCGGCGGTGCCCGTGGCACGAACCCTCCCCCCCAGCCTTACCAGGGGGGTTTCGTGCACTACCGGGGGGTTTCGTGCAGCCCGCACCGGGTGCCGCCAGCGGCTTAGAACCCCCCCCCCTTGCCGCTTTACCGGGGGGGTTCGTGCAGGCCGCACTGCGTCTACCTAGGCTCCCCCCCCCCCTGTGGGAGTGGGGGGGTGGGAGTGGGGGGTGGGTTGGGGGGGGGCAGGGGGGCGGTTGGGAAGGGTGGCTCCCTGTCGAAGTGTGGCGTGTGCTCGCCTTGTGTTCTCTGTTCGCGTCTGCTCGCCTTTGTTCCGCCGCAGCCTCTCGTATTGTGGCTCGTGGCCACAATACGAGAGGCTGCGGCGCAACTCCCGAGAGCCGCAGCCTCTCGTCCAACCGTCCCCCATGGCGGCGCTGGGGGGCGCCCAGACGGCCAGCTAGGAGCCCCGAACACCCCAACGCGGCCGATTTAGGGCCACGGGAGAGGCCTGGGGGCTTTTGCGGTCGCCAGGGGCGGTCTCGACGGTGCTGATTGCGCCTCGACGTCCCGCGACCGAACCAAAGACCGATCACAGAGCTCAAAGGGCGGGGAGGCGAAGGAGGACGAGGACAATGAGGAGGGGGGCGATGAGGACGAGGAGGGGGAGGAGGAGGAGGAGGAGGAGGAAAGGAGGAGGAGGAAGGAGGAGGAGGAGGAGGAGAGAGGAGGAGGAGGAGAGGAAGAGGAGGAGGAGGAGGAGGAGGAGGAGGAGGAGGAGGAGGAGGAGGAGGAGGAGGAGGAGGAGGAGGAGGAGGAGGAGGAGGAGAGAGGAGGAGGAGGAGGAGGAGGATAGGAGGAGGAGGAGGAGGAGGAGGAGGGGAGGAGGAGGAGGAGGAGGAGGAGGAGGAGGAGGAGGAGGAGGAGGAGGAGGGAGGAGGAGGAGGAGGAGGAGGAGGAGGAGGAGGAGGAGGAGGAGGGAGGGAGGAGGAGGAGGAGGAGGAGGAGGAGGAGGAGGATGGGAGGAGGAGGAGGAGGAGGAGGAGGGGGAGGAGGGGGAGGAGGAGGAGGAGGAGGAGGAGGAGGAGGAGGACGAGGGAGGACGAGGAGGACGAGGATGGACGACGATGACGCGAGGACGACGAGGACGAACGAGGACGAGGACGAGGCGAGGACGAGGACGAGGACGAGGAGGAGGAGGAGGAGGAGGACGAGGACGAGGACGAGGACGAGGACGAGGACGAGGACGAGGACGAGAGAGGAGGAGGAGGAGGAGGAGGAGGAAGGAGAAGGAGGAGGAAGAGGAGGAGGAGGAGGAGGAGGAGGAGAGGAGAGGAGGAGGAGGAGGAGGAGGGGAGGAGAGGGGAGGAGGAGGAGGAGGAGGAGGAGGAGGACGGGAGGACGAGGAGGACGAGGATGACGACGAGGACGACGAGGGACGACGAGGACGAGGACGAGGACGAGGACGAGGACGAGGACGAAGACGAGGAGGAGGAGGAGGAGGAGGAGGAGGAGGAGGAGGAGGAGGAAAAAGAGGACGAGGACGAGGACGCGAGGACGAGGACGAGGACGAGGACGAGGAAGAGGAGAAGGAGGAGGAGGAGGAGGAGGAGGAGGAGGAGGAGGAGGAGGAGGAGAGACTAAACATTGATTGTTCTTAGGTTTTTCAGCGAGTTTGGCATTTGCCTCTTCTCGGCATTCCGACGGCGCAAGACGGCCAGGGAGGCCGCCAACATCGTCCCAAAATCGTCCACGAGGCCTCCAAGATGGCCTCAGGACTTGCCCAATAGGCCCCCAAGACGGCCCCGAGAGGGCACAAAGACGACCCAAGAGGCCTCCAAGACGCCCCAGAAGGCCTCTGAGACGGCCCTGGAGCACCTCAAGAGGGCCCCATGTGGGCCGAGAGGCCCCCCAAACGGCGTCCGACGGCGTCAGACAGGCCAGGAACCCACCAAGATGGCCGAAGTTGGCTCGAAGCTGGCCTACGACGGCCCAAGAGGCCTCCAAGAGGGCCTCCAGGAAGGCCAGCAAAAGGCAACACAAAACCAGAAACGGCCAGAAACACGGGTGTTCCATAGTGTTTGGGGGAATTTGACATTTGCTTCTTTTCGGGTTTCCGACGGCCCGATACGGCCCAAAAGTCCCCAAAGATCGCCCAAACATCGCCCAAGAGGCATCCAAGATGGCCCCAAAACTGACCAAGAGGCCCCCAAGACGGCCCCAAGCGGCCCCGACGGCTCAAGACGGCCCAGGAGGCCCCCAAGATCGCTCCAAGATCGCCCACGAGGCCTCCAAGATGGCCCCAACACGGCCCAAGAGGCCCCTAAGACGACCCCGAGAGGGCCCTAAGACGACCCCGAGAGGCCTCCAAGACGCCCAAGATGGCTTCCGAGACGGCTCAGATGGCCCCACGAAGCCTCCAACACGGCCCAAGATGCACCCAAGACTGCCTGAGATGGCCTCCGGATGGCCTAAGACGGCTCTAGAGGCCCCCAAGAGGCCTCCAAGACGGCCCAACAGGCCTCCAAAAGTGCCTCCAGGAGGGCCCGAAGAGGCCAGCATCAGTGATTTTCCTTAGGTTGTTGAAGGTTTTTGGCATTTGCCTTAGGCCTGCCATGGCCCGTGACGTTGTGGTGTGCACCTGCCAAGTGTTGGGACGGGAGGAGCACGTCAGAATATTGACCAAGATCGACAAGGAGCTCTTGAGTAGCATGCTGGAGCATTTGTGCAATCGGGACCAGTGGCCAGAGTGCTACTGCGGCAACATTCTGGGCGTTCCACGGGACGTTCAAAAGGGGCTGTGGCGACCCCCCCGCCGGCCCGCGGGTGCCGGACCCCGTTCTCTCGGCCGTGCATTGGGCGCCGCGTAATGGGGGGGTCGTAAAGGGGGGGGGGGCGAGGGTGGTTCGGAAAGGCACCCGAGCGGTACCTAAACGAGCCCCCTGGGGCTCTGGAGGGGCCCGAAAGGGGCACGAAGGGGGACCTTTTCTGACCCCCCCATCTATGACCCCCCCCATTAAGCCACGCCCAAGGCAGTGCAGAGGGGGTGGCCATCCCAAGAGCTGCCCGTCGGCTGCCCAGGGGCCGTGCTCGGGGGGGCAGGGCGCCCCCAGCCCCTGCCTGCCTCTGCCCTGCGCCTCGGCTGCTGCCCTCGCCCTGCTGACGTCCTCGCCCCCCTTTGCTGAGCCCGTGCCTCGTCCGGCTCGTCCCTATCCCTCCTCGGCCTCACCCTGTGCTCCTTCTCACCCTCCTCCTCCTCGCCCTCCCCTGCCCTGCCCCGCGCGGCCCTCGCCCCCCTCTGCGCTGGCCCCTCCTCCTCCTCCTCCTCCTCCTCCTCCTCCTCCTCCTCCCCTCCTCCTCCTCCTCCTCCTCCTCCTCCTCCTCCTCCTCCTCCTCCCCCTCCTCCTCCTCCTCCTGCTCCCCCTCCTCCTCCCTCTCCTCGTCCTCCTCCTCCTCCTCCTCCTCCTCCTCCTCCTCCTCCTCCGCGGTGGGGCGGGGGCCGCCGAGCGCGCCGGCCAGGAGCAGGAGGCCTCCAACCTGCGGCAGGAGGAGGTCAGGCGGCAGGACGGCCGGGCCGGTGCTGCTCTGGCCTGTGGCCCGTGCTCCCTTCCCTCCTCGGCCTCCTCCTCGGCCTCCTCCTCCTCCTCCTCCTCCTCCCTCGTCCTCCTCCTCCTCCTCCTCCTCCTCCTCCTCCTCCTCCTCCTAGTCAAGGGCTCCTCCTCCTCATCCTCCTCGTCCTCCTCCTCCTCCTCCTTCTCCTCGTCCTCGTCGTCCTCCTCCTCCTCCTCCTCCTCCGCTATTTTCCGCTATTTGACGCGCCGTAAGGGTCACAGCCCTGAAGCGCAGCGCGGCGGCCGTCGGCCGCCGACAGAGGGGGGGAGAGGGAGGCCTGTTTCAATCCTGGACAGCGAAGGCCTGGAGGAATGGGCCTAGGACCGAGTCAAGGGGAGCCGATCAGTGATTGGGGCCTTTGCCTGAGAGCTCGTTGTCAAAACTCGTATCGGCCCCGCGGCCGCGACATCCCGTGTCATATTGTAAAGTCAGAGAGAGAGAGAGAGAGAGAGACGATTCGCAACCGCTCCCGCAAGGCGGTGATAGAAGGCTGGCAGTGTCTTTTGCCCACGTGCTCTGGCGCATGGCACGTCGTTCGTTTACAGGCGGTGGATGTTGATGTATGTTGGCCCCTGGGTGCCACCATATATCCACATCCATCGCCCGCTGGATCCCCAGGCTGTCGGTTCCCAGGTGGATACGTGTAAATCCCCACCTCGCAACTCTCCCTTGTCCATCCAGATTCCAATTGCGGCGATCGTCTGAGGATTCGCTGCCCGTCTGTACTTGAGTCGACGCGCATGCAAACGGGTTCGCACGACACGAAATGGCCTGCCGACGGACTCGTATTGCTGATATTATGATTCGCGTTTTCTCGATTTTAAGCTTGGAGCCCACGGACGAGGTTGGGGGGGGGCGAACGAGTAAATGAGGCGAGCGATACGCTGGGTGGTGGGGGGGACGGCGGGACAGTGGGAGGAAAACAAGGACGATCAGGTATGAGGCGGGAGGGATGAGGAGGCGGGATGGCTGCGTCCGACAGACACAGTAGCCAACAGCTCACAGGTCACAGGAGGAGGCGGGCGGAGGATGAGAAAAAACGAAGGGAGGACGGAGAACGGAGAACGGAGGAGGAGGAAGAGGAGGAGGAGGAGGAGGATTAATTAGAGGAGGAGGAGGAGGAAAATGAGGACGAGGAGGAAGAGGAGAAGGAGGAGGAGGAGGATCGACGCAACAAACGCATTCTTCAGGTCTGGTCAACGTTTAGGAAGAGGAGGAGGAGCTGGAGGAGGAGGAGGAGGAGGAGGAGGAGGAGGAGGAGGAGGAGGGAGGAGGGAGGAGGCCAGGAGGGAGGAGGCATGAGGCCGGAGGCAGGAAGGAAGGGGTGTGAAGGAGGCGGGCGGAGGAGGAGGAGGAGGAGGAGGAGAGGGCGGCAGGCACTTCCCCCCGGCAGGGCGAGAGGAGGAGGAGGAGGAGGAGGAGGAGGAGGAGGAGGAGGAGGAGGAGGAGGAGGAGGAGGAAAAGGAGGAGAGGGCGTGAGGGAGGAGGCGCGGCGGCCCTCCCCCCCGGCAGGGCGAGAAGGAGCTCCTGCTGCTGCGGCTCCAGTCCGACGAGCGGCGGGCGGAGATGGGCGTCCGGGAGGCTCGCCGCGGCCGCCTCGCCCTCCTCCGCCCCGCTTTCTTGCTCCCCTCGTCTCTTTCCTCCGCTCCCCCCCCCCCCCCCTTGGGTACTCCAGATTTCGTAATAAAAGGGAGGGGGTCTGGACCCTCCAAGACAAGCCATTTCAGACCTCCCCCGTGGGAGAACCCTCCAAAACATCGTCCCCAGACCCCCCCAGGCCCTCCAAGATAGCCTGGAAGAGACCCCCCCCCGAAATGAGACCCCCCTGAGACCCCCCTCCCTTTATTACGAAATCTGGAGTATCTTTCGGGGGAGCGTAAGACCTGGGTTTGCCAGGACTCGGGTTCGCCATCGTTTTCTGACGGCCGCGACTCGGATTTTGACGAGTAGGAGTTTCGTGGGGTGTCTGCAGCGGGAGGCCTCGTCAAAATGCAGGCTCGGCCTCGTCATTTTTGTTGACGACCTCGTCGGGGATTTCCGAGTCCCCTATACCTAGGTCTTACGCCCTCCTGAATCTTTCGGGCGCCGAAAATCAGAGAAAGCCCACATCAAAATCATTCAATCGCTTCCGTAAATCGATGGCCTCTTTTAGGGATCTTTCGGGAGGCCTCTGGGAGCGCTCTTGGGGCCTTCTTGGGTCGTCTTGGAGCTATCTTCGGGCACCTTGGATCATTCTTCGCCTTGGAAATGCAAATCTGGTGTAAGTTATCCTATCCTATCCTATCCTATCCTATCCTATCCTATCCTATCCTATCCTATCCTATTTTATCATGGTTGCAAGAAACCAGACACGTAGGTTGCAGTGCTGCGTCATATTCGTGTCTTCCGGGAGTCTTGAAACGTGATCCCGTGTTGCACGCAGCATGTATCCCAATACGTTGCCACAGTGGCTCGAGAGCGCTCAGCGGTCGAGGCCAGACAGGGGTTCCGCAAACTCCCCTGCGGGCCACAGCTTTTGCCAGAGGCTGCGTACATACGTGGCCTAGCGTTGCGAGAGTAAGCATCATCTTAAGACTCCTTATTTGCACTCTCCCGGCGGCGGCAATAGCAGCAGATTTCGACGGCAGTCAGCGAGGAAGGAGAGGCAGGCGCGATCTTCACCCTGGAGCTCGCCCGCCAGCTTTTCCGCCACCACCTCAGCAAAGGCAGCATGAAGATCGTGATAGATCACCGCGCAGGGTTCAGGAGCCGCCTGCCCTCGAGGAGGCGCAGGGCGAACTGGATGCCAATCAGGACATTCCTGACAATGACAATAAGTTCCTGAGAGAGTATATCGAGAAAACGTTGTCCACTCCTTCAGCGGAAAGCCGTGCGCTCATTCGGCGTGCGTCTCTAGCCCTCATGGCCTCCATTGAGAGCCTCCAGAAGGTGAATGATAGGGCCACCGTCTTCGGAGAGCAAATGGACGCTTTAGAACGGAAGGAAAATCCCATCTGGGCTGAGGCCGTTCACGGTGAGCTACGACACACAGTGGTTGGACATGTGCTATACAGATGATAATGCAGTATTTCATGTGGACCTTTCCCGAAAAAGCGTACGGGACGCTAAAAAGGAGCTTTACACAGAGTACCTTCTTGCCCAAAAGAAGTTGGACATGATCGTGTTAGAGAAGCAGAAGAAGGACTTGCGTGAGAAGTCCAAGTGTGACTCTTTCATCGAGCGTTGCATTTCGATCGAGACGCAGCGTGCCTCCCCATTTACCTTCCTAGGTTTGGATGCCGAGCCTGACCTGGAGTTGAGTGGCGAACGTCTCAGGCCCCAGCTCAAGGTTCTCTACAGGAAGATTGTGGACCAGGCGGCGGCGAAGCGACAGGCGCAATTGGATCGTGAACAACGGCATCATGAGAAGCAGAAGAAGATTGCAGAGGAAGTTGCGGCGAAACCTCCAGACCAGCTCCTGACGATGGTCATCGACGACAGGATCAATAAGTCGAGACTGAAAGAAAAACAAGCTAAACGTCCCCCTGGTGTACCAGAAACCCCTGCAGCATGGTACACTAGAGCGGCAGCCTTTGATCTATCGTCCCAGGATGTTATGGAAGATATGGCAGGTATGGCAAAAAACGGCCCTGCCCCCGCTGCGAGCGGGGGTCGTGGGCGAGGCCGCGGCAATCCAGCCATCAGTGGTGTTCGTGGTCGTGGCCGCGGGCGTGGCCGGAGCACCAAGGGCAAGGGCAAGAGCAAGAGCAAAGGCAAAGGCAAGGACACGGACAACAACGGCGGCAAGAATCCGAAGTCGAAGGGCAAGGACCAGAAAGGAAAGGGCTACGACTATTACCCCAGCGGCGGCAAAGCGGACTGGGGGAAATCAACACAGAAAAGTCGAGGCCGCGGCCGGGGGAAATCCAGGACCCTAGGCCGAGGTGGAAGAAAAAATGGGGGAGGCTGGTAGGCATACAGCGTTCAGGAGCCCGTTCGAGGCTGCACAGCCACCAGCCGTTTTCCGATGATTGTTCTCCCAATTGCTCGCATCGCCAAGCGATGGTGAAGCGTTTTCTGCATTTGACTTCAGGGTTATCACCAAAACAGTGGATTACCTTGCTGGAAAGCGGACTGGGAAAACAAGGAGTGTACATACTTGACCCTTTACGTAAGACCTCACGTACCCCAAATAAGAATGAGTTGTACTGGGACGTCGAATTCGTATTGCGCAACCACAAACAGCATATCTACAATTTTATTCGGCGTCCGAGCCTTGAGGATGTATCCCGTGCCATGGAAGATGTTCGCAATAAGCTTGCCTGGCACCACTACTTCAAGCATGTGGGCCCTTCTTCTGCCGATGAGTGGAAGCCAGTGCGTTCGAAACCACGGCGACCTCGAGAGTTTCTAGGCGAACTTGATCCTACGGTCAGTGGTTGTGTTCACGACCTGTATTCGGACGTCTGGAAAGCAGTCGTCTCATCACGGATCCGGGTTGGACCGTCTCCCGTCTTACCCTTGATCGTGCGACAGGGTTTCAAGAGGCTTGGACATGGACTCTGGGGCGTCTTGCCGACCGACAAAGACGGCGGCTTTGCATTGGTACGCGAATCAGCTCTTCGTGATGCATTCTTCAGCGCGCTGGCAAACGATTCCCTGTACAAGCCGATTGAGATATTCGATCCTGTTGCACTTCTTGAGGAATACCGCGATACCGCTCTGGAGGTCGCAACGATCGGATTGGACGAGCCTTGCAATAATTTGTTCAAACATCTTATGTCTGCTATGGGCGAGGACCCACATAAGGTCATACAAGTTGGGGGCTACTGCGAAAACTCGCAAGCCTCAAGGAAAATGTACAATAAGAGCACTTCATTGCATGCAGGTTCGTTCCCCCATATCCCCTATGATGAAGCTCGTCTCCCAGATGTTGAAAGGCCACTTGGAAGCGCAACCTCATATTGTTCGTGATTCGGCAGTCTTCCTGAAACACATCCGGTCGCTACGAGTCTCTGTGTGCTTCTCGCTCGTCAAGATCGACGTGAAGGAGTACTTTATGCCAGGATCCCACAGCATGCTCCTAGATGAGGCTTCGAAGTTTTTCACTGGATCCGAGCGGCGGCGTTTCAGAGAAGCCTTGAGGTTCATACTTGAAAATCAATTCGTTCAGTCGTATGATTCGGACTTGGTTCACCAAGTGATCCGCGGGTCAGGCATGGGGGTCATGCGTTCAGGCGAGGTGAGCCATGCTGCATTGTACCGCCTAGCTGAGAAAAGCGTTCTAAGTAGGCAATACATGGAGGAAGTAGGCTTGCTAGCTCACTTCCGTTTCAAAGATGCTATCCTAGCTGTTCTCGACGGGCCACAGAAAGACATGCACACCTTCAGCCAAGATATGTGTAGGTCCGTGTCCCCCTTCGAGCTACAATTAGAAACTGTGAGTTCGGAGCGGGCTGTGTTTTCAGATGTAGAAGTACATCGTCCGAAGAACTTCGTTGGAGGAGCCCTGGGCTACAGCGCCCATGTCAAGAAGAGTTCGCAAGTGGCTCCTCTGTCAAGGGACTCACTCCACCATCCGTCGGTCCACGAGGCGTGGCCTCGAGCCATGATTAGCAGATATCACAGATTAAGCAAGCATTCGCAAGCTGCCCAGGATCATATATCTATATTCTTAGCCTCCCTCAAACGAGCGGGGGCGTGCCAGTCGTTTCTGGATTCGTTGGCAACGCCCAGCAGAGTCCGTCGCCCGAGAGCAGGAGGGGATGTGAGGTCAATTTTCCTCGTACTCCCATTTTTTCCTCAATGGTTGCAGTCTGGGCTCCAGGGTACGCTGGCGCGTCTCAATGCTGTATGGGGCGCCCGGCTGGAAATTCGCATTCGCGTGAGCTGGAAACTAGGCGAAAGCCATTTGGTTACACGGTTGAAGTCTTTCAATTCGTCTATTCAGACAGATGTTTTAGACTGGCCAGTGGTTCGCCGAATCACGACGGGACCTGCGGCCTAGTCGATTCTATAAGAGAAAGCTTTTTGGCGGTTGGATGGGGCTGGATGGCGGTAGCATCCTATTTTATCATGGTTGCAAGAAACCAGACACGTAGGTTGCAGTGCTGCGTCATATTCGTGTCTTCCGCGAGTCTTGAAACGTGATCCCGTGTTGCACGCAGCATGTATCCCACTACGTTGCCACAGTGGCTCGAGAGCGCTCAGCGGTCGAGGCCAGACAGGGGTTCCGCAAACTCCCCTGCGGGCCACAGCTTTTACCAGAGGCTGCGTACATACGTGGCCTAGCGTTGCGAGAGTAAGCATCATCATCATCTTTCTTGTTCCCCTCGTCTCTTTCCTCCGCCCCCCCCCCCCCCCCCCTTGGGTACTCCAGATTTCGTAATAAAAGGGAGGGGGTCTGGACCCTCCAAGACAAGCCATTTCAGACCTCCCCCGTGGGAGAACCCTCCAACACATCGCCCCCAGACCCCCCCGGGCCCTCCAAGATAGCCTGGAAGAGACCCCCCCCGAAATGAGACCCCCCTCCCTTTATTACGAAATCTAGAGTATCTTTCGGGGGAGCGCAAGACCCGGGTTTGCCAGGACTCGGGTTCGCCATCGTTTTCTGACGGCCGCGACTCGGATTTTGACGAGTAGGAGTTTCGTGGGGTGTCTGCAGCGGGAGGCCTCGTCAAAATGCAGGCTCGGCCTCGTCATTTTTGTTGACGACCTCGTCGGGGATTTCCGAATCCCCTATACCTGGGTCTTACGCCCCCCTGAATCTTTCGGGCGCCGAAAATCAGAGAAAACCCACATCAAAATCATTCAATCGCTTCCGTAAATCGATGGCCTCTTTCAGGGATCTTTCGGGAGGCCTCTGGGAGCGCTCTTGGGGCCTTATTGGGTCGTCTTGGAACTATCTTCGGGCACCTTGGAGCATTCTTCGCCTCGGAAGTGCGGATCTGGTGTAAGCTTGAATGCGTTATGGCATTGGGGGCGTGAACATTGTATAATTTGCAAGGTTTGCTGCCTCAGGGATGCAAGAATGGTATGATGTGCCAGGGTTTCTGTCCTCGGGAACGCGCAGATGGTACAATTTCAATGGATGATGGGTTCGGGGGCGCGAAAACAGCGTGATTTATTCAGGTTTGTTGTCTCGGGGGGATGCCCGCGCCGTCGTCGGCGGCGTCTTGGCGACGAGTCTGACGACATGCCGCCGATTTTCAGAGGAGGGCCAATCGCCAATCGTCGTTTTTTTGCAGCACCTGTCGCGCCGATTTGGGGTGCAAGCAGCACCTGTCGCACCATTATTTGTCCTCCTCCTCTTCCTTTCTCCTCCTGTTCGTCTCTGCGCAAGCTGCTTTGAACGAAGCCTCGCTAACGCTTGGTGCCAACATGGTAAAACTCAGGTTTGTTGTCTTTGGAGCGCATGCATGATGTAATGTTCGAGGGTTCGTGGAGTCGGTCGGGAATGCGAGCATTGCCTATTTTACGAAGGATTACGGCCTCGAGGGCGCGAGCCACACGTATTTTCATATGTCCCGTGCGGTTTGGGGGTGGTAAATTGTCGATTTGGAGCTCCATCCCCTCGCGCGCATTTCAACATTTTACCGTAGGAAACAGAAGGTAGGACTTTAACACTGGAGACTTGAAATTTCAACCTGTGCAGGGAGCAGCAACTCTCACCCCACAGCCTGTTGGCCCCACATCCGCGCGGGCATCTTTAATCGAGCAATGCGTGTTGACTGCGATAGCGAACTATTTGGAGGTCGTCCCTGGGAAATCACAGGCCCGCGCATGCATGATCGGTGTTTCTTCAAGCGTTCGGAACAGTTCCAGGCCGCCCAGAACCAGCCACAATAGATTGCGTCCAAAGAACCGTGCCACCGTGCCGCATCACCGATGCAGTTGCGATTTTCTGAACCCCGCTGTGTAAAGCCTCGGCGATGCTTCGGCGATGCGGTGCAATCTTCCAACTCCGTTTTTGCTAGCCCGTTTGGGTGGTCTCCACGCGCGCCTTTTGTGTCCGATGCTTCCCAGGGACAAGGCTCCCGCTCTCTCGGGCGTCCTTTGCGTCGTAGTAGTAGTAGTAGTAGTAGTAGTAGTAGTAGTAGTAGTAGTAGTAGTAGTAGTAGTAGTAGTAGTAGTAGTAGTAGTAGTAGTAGTAGTAGTAAGAGGAGGAGGATGAGGAGGAGGAGTATTCGTAGTAGTAGTAGTAGTAGTCGTAGTAGTAGTAGTAGTAGTAGTAGTAGTAGTAGTAGTAGTAGTAGTAGTAGGAGGAGAGGGGATGAGAGGATGAGGAGGGGAGTAGTAGTATTAATAGTGGTAGTAGTAGTGGGTCTAGTAGTAGTAGTGGTGATACGTAGTAGTAGTAGTAGTAGTAGTAGTAGTAGTAGGAGTAGTAGTAGTAGTAGTAGTAGTAGTAGTAGTAGTAGTAGTATTAGTAGTAGTAGTAGTAGTAGTAGTAGTAGTAGTAGTAGTAGTAGTAGTAGTAGTAGTCAA